GAGAGCTTAAAGTTTCTCGGTGTCCACATAACTCTGGATCTATTATGGTCCACACACACCAAGACAGTTGTGAAGAGGGCACGACAACGCCTCTTCCCTCTCAGGAGGCGGAAAAGATTTGTGATGGGCCCTCCGATCCTCAAAAGGTTATACAGCTGCACCATTGAGAGCATCTTGACTATACCAGGCGGTGTCAGAGGAAGGCTCTCTCTGCTACTGCACGGCAAGTCTGAAACCAACAGGACCCAGAACAGCTTCTACCCCCAAGCCATAAGACTGCTAAATAGTTAGTTAAATAGTTAACCAAATACAGTGAGGGAAAAAAGTATTTGATCCCCTGCTGATTTTGTACGTTTGCCAACTGACAAAGAAATGATCAGTCAATCATTTTAATGGTAGGTTTATTTGAACAGTGAGATACAGAATAACAACAAAAACGCATGTATAAAATGTTATAAATTGATTTGCATTTTAATGAGGGAAATAAGTATTTGACCCCCTCTCAATCAGAAAGATTTCTGGCTCCCAGGTGACTTTTATATAGGTAACGAGCTGAGATTAGGAGCACACTCTTAAAGGGAGTGCTTCTAATCTCAGTTTGTTACCTGTATAAAAGACACCTGTCCACAGAAGCAATCAATCAATCAGATTCCAAACTCTCCACCATGGCCAAGACCAAAGAGCTCTCCAAGAATGTCAGGGACAAGATTGAAGACCTACACAAGCCTTGAATGGGCTACAAGACCATCGCCAAGCAGCTTGGTGAGAAGGTGACAACAGTTGGTGCGATTATTCGCAAATGGAAGAAACACAAAATAACTGTCAATCTCCCTCGGCCTGGGGAGTTGCAATGATCATGAAAATGGTGAGGAATCAGCCCAGAACTACACGGGAGGATCTTGTCAATGATCTCAAGGCAGCTGGGACCATAGTCACCAAGAAAACAATTGGTAACCCACTATGCCGTGAAGGACTGAAATCCTGCAGCACCCGCAAGGTCCCCTTGCTCAAGAAAGCACATATACATGCCCGTCTGAAGTTTGCCAATGAACATCTGAATGATTCAGAGGAGAACTGGACCAAAATGGAGCTCTTTGGCATCAACTCAACTCGTCGTGTTTGGAGGAGGAGGAATGCTACCTATGACCACAAGAACACCATCCCCACCGTCAAACATGGAGGTGGAAACATTATGCTTTGGGGGTGTTTTTCTGCTAAGGGGACAGGACATCTTCACCACATCAAAGGGACGATGGACGGGGCCATGTACCGTCAAATCTTGGGTGAGAACCTACTTCCCTCGCCAGGGCATTGAAAATGGGTCGTGGATGGGTATTCCAGCATGACAATGACCCAAAACACACGGCCATGGCAACAAAGGAGCGGCTCAAGAAGAAGCACATTAAGGTCCTGGAGTGGCCTAGCCAGTCTCCAGACCTTAATCCCATAGAAAATCTGTGGAGGGAGCTGAAGGTTCAAGTTGCCAAACGCCAGCCTCGAAACCTTAATGACTTGGAGAAGATCTGCAAAGAGGAGTGGGACAAAATCCCTCCTGAAATGTGTGCAAACAAGGTGGCCAACTACAAGAAACGTCTGACCTCTGTGATTGCCAACAAGGGTTTTGCCACCAAGTACTAAGTCATGTTTTGCAGAGGGGTTAAATATTTATTTCCCTCATTAAAATGCAAATCAATTTATAACATTTTTGACATGCGTTTTTCAGGATTTTTGTTGTTGTTATTCTGTCTCTCACTGTTCAAATAAACCTACCATTAAAATTATAGACTGATCATTTCTTTGTCAGTGGGCAAACGTACAAAATCAGCAGGGGATCAAATACTTTTTTCCCTCACTGTAGCTACCCTGAAAAGCTATGCATTTGCCCTTTTTTACACTAACTTTTTTGACATATGCTGCTGCTACTGTTTATTATCTGTCACTTTGTTCCTAGTTACAGTGGGGGAAAAAAAGTATTTAGTCAGCCACCAATTGTGCAAGTTCTCCCACTTAAAAAGATGAGAGAGGCCTGTAATTTTCATCATAGGTACACGTCAACTATGACAGACAAATTGAGAGAAAAAAATCCAGAAAATCACATTGTAGGATTTTTAATTAGTTTATTTGCAAATTATGGTGGAAAATAAGTATTTGGTCACCTACAAACAAGCAAGATTTCTGGCTCTCACAGACCTGTAACTTCTTCTTTAAGAGGCTCCTCTGTCCTCAACTCGTTACCTGTATTAATGGCACCTGTTTGAACTTGTTATCAGTATAAAAGACACCTGTCCACAACCTCAAACAGTCACACTCCAAACTCCACAATGGCCAAGACCAAAGAGCTGTCAAAGGACACCAGAAACAAAATTGTAGACCTGCACCAGGCTGGGAAGACTGAATCTGCAATAGGTAAGCAGCTTGGTTTGAAGAAATCAACTGTGGGAGCAATTATTAGGAAATGGAAGACATACAAGACCACTGATAATCTCCCTCGATCTGGGGCTCCACGCAAGATCTCACCCCGTGGGGTCAAAATGATCACAAGAACGGTGAGCAAAAATCCCAGAACCACACGGGGGGACCTAGTGAATGACCTGCAGAGAGCTGGGACCAAAGTAACAAAGCCTACCATCAGTAACACACTACGCCGCCAGGGACTCAAATCCTGCAGTGCCAGACGTGTCCCCCTGCTTAAGCCAGTACATGTCCAGGCCCGTCTGAAGTTTGCTAGAGTGCATTTGGATGATCCAGAAGAGGATTGGGAGAATGTCATATGGTCAGATGAAACCAAAATAGAACTTTTTGGTAAAAACTCAACTCGTCGTGTTTGGAGGACAAAGAATGCTGAGTTGCATCCAAAGAACACCATACCTACTGTGAAGCATGGGGGTGGAAACATCATGCTTTGGGGCTGTTTTTCTGCAAAGGGACCAGGACGACTGATCCGTGTAAAGGAAAGAATGAATGGGGCCATGTATCGTGAGATTTTGAGTGAAAACCTCCTTCCATCAGCAAGGGCATTGAAGATGAAACGTGGCTGGGTCTTTCAGCATGACAATGATCCCAAACACACCGCCCGGGCAACGAAGGAGTGGCTTCGTAAGAAGCATTTCAAGGTCCTGGAATGGTCTAGCCAGTCTCCAGATCTCAACCCCATAGAAAATCTTTGGAGGGAGTTGAAAGTCAGTGTTGCCCAGCGACAGCCCCAAAACATCACTGCTCTAGAGGAGATCTGCATGGAGGAATGGGCCAAAATACCAGCAACAGTGTGTGACAACCTTGTGAAGACTTACAGAAAACGTTTGACCTGTGTCATTGCCAACAAAGGGTATATAACAAAGTATTGAGAAACTTTTGTTATTGACCAAATACTTATTTTCCACCATAATTTGCAAATAAATTCATTAAAAATCCTACAATGTGATTTTCTGGATTTTTTTTCTTCTCATTTTGTCTGTCATAGTTGATGTGTACCTATGATGAAAATTACAGGCCTCATCTTTTTAAGTGGGAGACCTTGCACAATTGGTGGCTTGACTAAATACTTTTTTCCCCACTGTATATGTACATATCTACCTCAATTACCTCGCACCCCTGCACATCGACTCGGTACTGGTGCCCCTTGTATATAGCCAAGTTATCGTTACTCATTGTGTATCTATTATTACTTTTCAAATTATGTGTTTTACTTTTCTATTATTTCTCTATTTTCTTTCTCTCTGCATTGTTGGGAAGGGCCCGTAAGTATTTCACTGTTATTCTACACCTGTTGTTTACAAAGCATGTAGTTAATAATATTTTATATGATTTGATTTTAACGCTGTTGGGTTAATGGACTACACGTTGTTTGAACATGTCTTGGTCTCTATGGTAGAAGGTTAGACTGGATCCTAGGGGTTAAATGCCTAGTAGAAGTGATGAGTGAACGGGACCACTGGAGAAGGAATGTTGGCATTCCTAGGCCAACTCTTTCTCTCTCTCCAGTCCCAGTCTGTTGTACACGCTGTCGACTGTCTGTAGCCTAGTCTGGCAGTAGCATATCGTACCAGTGGTTCAACTAAACCTGGTTTGGATTCTAATCACGAAGACTCTGAGCTGTTGATTCTGGGTTCTAGTTTCTGTTCAACCATTGCAGAGCCTATTCCAGGTCTGAAACTAAGACTGACATTCCTGACCGCTGAGGCAGGAATCATAGATACACGGCAGTGACTAACATCTTCATACCATAGTAACATGCTAAATCAGCGCACTATGCTTGTCTCCTCGGGGAGTTAACCCTCATGGCAGTCTTTCCCCACTGAGCTGACAGGTTGCCATGCTATACCATGAGCCTAGAGCGCTGCTGCTGGAATGTAAGAAAGGAATGACATTGAGTGTGCATTGTGCTGTTTTTCAACCAGGCTTTGTTTGTTGTGTTTCAGTTTGGCTTTGTGTTCGGGCCTGTCTATGGTAGTTCTGCACTGCCCTCTTGTGGTGATTTTATTTTTTATTTAACCTTTATTTAACTAGGCAAGTCAGTTAAGAACAAATTCTTATTTACAATGACGGCCTACCCCGGCCAAACCCGGACGACGCTGGGCCAATTGTGCGCAGCCCTATGGGACTCCCAATCACGGCCGGATTGTTATACAGCTTGGAATCGAACCAGGGTCTGTAGTGACGCCTCTAGCACTGAGATGCAGTGCCTTAGGCCGCTGAGCCACTCGGGAGGGCTACTGTATATACATACACATGACTGGCACAGTATTGCCATCCATTCTGTGTTCAGTTACTGCCTCTTCAGGAATAGCAGCAGAGCTGTTGTGTTGTTCCTAAAGCAGATCTGGGGAGGGGGAGTCATTTAACCCCCCCCCCCGTCCTTCCTTCGCACAGACTCGCTCGTACAGACACCCACACGCAGTCCGCCGCTACAGCGCTAGCCCTCCACTCTAAACTGCTGAGAGGCCAGGGAGTGCAGCTGGTGTTAACCACCTCCCAAAACGCTGCTAGCTACCTCTGCCCTATGCGCAGTCATTGCCGCAACGCTACTATTTACATTTGACATTTTAGTCATTTAGCAGACGCTCTTATCCAGAGCGACTTACAGGTGCAATTAGTGTTGTGTCTTGCTCAAGGGTATATCGACAGATCTTTCACCTAGTCTACTATCATGACGGTAACACAGCATTGTCATGACTGTGACACCTCAGTCTTTTTCAAAACACTAAATGTGCAGAATACAACAGGTGTAGATCTTACAGTGAAATGCATACTTACAAGCCCTTAACCAACAATACAGTTTTAAGAAAGAATACAAAAAATATATATACTATATAAAATAATACAAAATAAAAGTAACATAATTAAAGAGCAGCAGTAAAAATAACAATAGTGAGGCTATATACAGGGGGTACCGGTACCGAGTCAATATGCGGGGGCACCGGTTAGTCGAGGTAATTGGGGTAATATGTACATGTAGGTAGTAATAATAATATGCCATTTAGCAGACGCTGACGATGTGTGCATACATTTTTACGTATGTGTGGTCCCGGAGATCGAACCCACTACCCTGGCGTTACAAGCGCCATGCTCTACCAATTGAGCTACAGAGGACCACAAGTTATTAAAGTGACTATGCGTAGATAATAAACAGAGAGTAGCAGCAGTGTAAAAGAGGGGTGGGGGGGCAATGCAAATAGTCTGGGTAGCCATTTGATTAGATGTTCAGGAGTCTTATGGCTTGGGGGTAGAAGCTGTTAAGAAGCCTTTTGGACCTAGACTTTGCGCTCCGGTACCGCTTGCCATGTGGTAGCAGAGAGAACAGTCTATGACTAGGGTGGCTGGAGTCTTTGGCAATTTTTAGGGCCTTCGTCTGACACCCCTTGGTATAGAGGTCCTGGATGGCAGGAAGCTTGGCCCCGGTGATGTACTGGGCCGTACGCACTACCCTCAGTAGTGCCTTGCGGTCGGAGGCCGAGCAGTTGCCATACCAGGCAGTGATGCAACCAGTCAGGATGCTCTCAATGGTGCAGCTGTATAACCTTTTGAGGATCTGAGGACCCATGCCAAATCTTTTCAGTCTCCTTAGGGGGAATAGGTTTTGTCGTGCCCTCTTCACGACTGTCTTGATGTGTTTGGACCATGTTAGTTTGTTGGTGATGTGGACACCAAGGAACTTGAAGCTCTCAACCTGCTCCACTACAGCCCCGTTGATGAGAATGGGGGCGTGCTTGGTCCTCTTCTTTTTCCTGTAGTCCACAATCATCTCCTTTGTCTTGATCACGTTGAGGGAGAGGTTGTTGTCCTGGCACCACACTGCCAAGTCTCTGACCACCTCCCTATAGGCTGTCTCATCGTTGTCGGTGATCAGGCCTACCACTGTTGTGTCATCGGTAAACTTAATGATGGTGTTGGAGTCGTGCCTGGCCATGCAGTCATGAGTGAACAGGGAGTACAGGAGGGGACTGAGCACGCACCCCTGAGGGGCCCCCATGTTTTGAAATGAATGCATAAAACGTATCCAAATTATATTAAGTGTTCTATAAGGCAGATTTTTGTCTCGCCTAGGGTGGCAGAATGTCTTCACCCCTCTGCACCTGGCCAGGAGACAATCCTTCTCTTTAACACATCTCACTAGAAGAACCAACCTGTCTGAAACCTAATTCCTAATAAATCAAACAAACTCTTCAGTTCCGACAGACCAAGCAGCAGCAGATACCAGCAGCATCTCCCCTTCTCATGCTCAACCACCCTGAGAAGCTATAGCTGCAGTCACATTTATTACTGTTAAAAAACTTAATATTTTTCTCTGTTCAAGGTTAGAATTGTAAATGAAAGCATCAGGGTGCTGTAGTAAGTGGGTTTTATACACAAAACACACACTTGTAAAAACCTCATGTGAAATTCTCGCTCGAAACACTTAATCTCAAGAGCTCCTCATAAATCCACAGCGATGTGCCTTTATCAACATGGCACTCGCATGAAGAGGCCTATACATGAGGTGCCGATGAGGACAATGGGGACTGAGTGGCTACATACACCTCTTCCACTGTACACCTCTCAGCCAGCATTGGTTGGCTTGCTTCTTCCCTCCTAGGGCTGAAGCATTGCTGTACTGTTACATTTTTTGTTGTTGAATGCATTCAAGTTGATGTTTTATTTCTTTGTTCATTCTGCTCAAGCTGAATTTAATTACATGTTGTATCACTGCTCTCCCCTCTGTCAGCGCACCACCATTCTCCCCTGTGCCAGGGCTTCTCAGGGTGGTTGAGCATGAGAAGGGGAGATGCTGCTGGTATCTGCTGCTGCTTGGTCTGTCTGAACTGAAGAGTTTGTTTGATTTACTAGGAAATAGGTTTCATCAGACATGTTGGTTCTTCTAGTGAAATGTGTTAAAGAGAAGGATTGTCTCCTGGCCAGGTGCAGACTGGGCCGGCCCTGGACGTTCTGCCACCCTAGGCGAGACAAAAATCTGCCTTTATAGAAAGCGTAATATAATTTGGATACGTTTTATGCATTTATTTCAAAATATAAAGCAAACAATAGATATCCTTTTTGCCTTTTTCTTTAACAAAGGGTATGTGATACCCTCACTCAATTCGAGCCCTGGTTTTAACCAAACACACCAAGCCCTTCCCAGGCACAGAGGTATTTAATCAGTGCACGCGACAGTATTGGGAGTATTTGGCTTTACCGACATCTATGGATAACATAATTGTGTCTGTCAAACAGGTAGGCTTACCACTTATTTTTTGGAATAGGAAGAAATAGGTGAAACATGGTGAATTTGATTGTCCAACATCAGTTTCAGCATTTATTTATTTAGTCTCCGCCTAGAGTGGCCTCTTTCCTCTGCAGTCAGCCATGTTTTCTCTCGGTAGCTGTCCATGGTCCTGAAATCAAATAATCTGAGAGGGGGAGAGAGAGAGAGTGAGTGAGCGAGATTAGGATGCAGTCTATTTAAATCTAAAAAATACAAAGTAAACAGGTGATAGATAATTGAGTAATCTTATAAATTAATGCGAGTGTATGATCAACGCTTACCTTTTATTCAAAGACAAGTTGACTCGCCTGGCCTTTCTGGCAGCAAAAGCATGTACTGCTTGTTGGAGGTTGATTTTTGTAAGACAACTCGTGCTCAATTGATATGGTGGCGAGTCCATTGAGTCCCTCTTGACTCAAAGTAGAGCACAGGTTGTTTTTGATGAGTTTGAGCTTGGAGAATGTGCGCTCTCCACTTGCCACTGTCATCAGGAGTGTGAGAAGAACTCTCAGGGCAACAAAGCCATTGGGATACAAGGAGGCCATTTGGTGTCTGGATATGTACTCCAGTGCGTCAAGTGGTTTTGCCTCACTGTCCAGTCTCCTGCTCAAGACTTTGAGCTCATTACACAGCTCAATGTCCCTGGAATCCCCATACGTAAGGGCCCTCTCCAGTGTTGCACAGTCCCTGGTAAGCGCTGCAGTGTCCATGTCCTTGATGGTGGGGATGTTGTACAGGATGCTGAAAACACTGCTGTGCTCTTCGAGCTGCGTAAAGCGCTCGTTGACGGACTAGATAGCAGAATCAAGAATCTGATTAAAGCAATGTGCTTTGAATTTCTGCTGAGGGTCAGTCACAGGCTCATCCTCTCCCTCGTAGCCAAACAGACTCCTCTTCTTCCTGGGACGGACTGTGGGCTGCACTGGGAAACAGGGCTCAATACCCATCTCCTCTGCCAACTCTTTTGCGCTTGCTAAAGCGAAAGCTGCATCGGAGCGGTAGTCATGGAGGAATACCCTGGTTGAGTTCAGTTGAGCCATTGCTAGTGAAATATTAAAACTCACCGCCTGCAAACTCTTACTGGTGATGTTCACTTCGAACAAGATGTCATGCCAAATCACCACTGTGCGCACATGAAGCCAAAGTTGTTCATCTTGTGGGCAATGCTGTTTGCCTCCAACCTTGTATAAATGTATACATTTCTTGGATGGTGTTAAAAAACTCAGCTGCCTCCAAACAACACGATGCTGCATCAGAGAGAACCAGGTTCAGCGAGTGCACGCTGCATGGCACAAAAAAGGCCCTCGGATTGATATCCTGCACTCTTTTGAACTCTGCTGTACCTCCCCCGCATATTCGCCCCGTTGTCATACCCCTGCCCTCTCATGTCCATGATGGCGATTCCATGTTTCTGTAGTTTTGAGATGAGCAACTCGGTCATGCCCACCCCCATTGCGTCAAGCAGTTCACTAAACTCCAGGAAGTGCTCTCTTGTGCGCACTGACCCATCATCATCGGTTGAAACAAAATGCACCACCATGGTCATCTGCTCTGTTTTGCTCTTGTCTGGTGTGCAGTCCAATTATATAAAAATATTTGGCTGCTTTTAGATCACTGTCTGCTGGATCTCTTGTGCCAGCATATCAATAATTTCGTTCTGGATTATTTTACCGAGGTAGTGCACATGTGTTTCTTTGGACTGTACTCTCCTTACATGCTCCTTCAGGATTCCATCAAAGATACCCAGTATTTCCACAAACTTAAGAAAGTTCCCATTATTTGGCTCGTTCAGCCTATCGGTGGTCCCACGTAACGCAATATTCTGGGTGACCATTACGCGTATCAGGGCTATGAGCCTCTGCAGCACCTGCTGCCAGTGGAGAGTCTCTCCGTCAATAGCCTGTTGGGCTTGGGTATCGATAATTTACTTGGACACCAGCCTGATCTCCAGCTCCTTCCACCTTTGGAAACTATCTAGGTGGTCATGCGACTTCTCATGCGAGCTGAAGAGGTGGCACAGATTCTTCCAGTCCCTGTTTCCATCCCTGACCAGTGCAGATTTGCATTCGTGTGAAAAAGGTTTGCAGCAAAAACAGAAGGCTGCATCGTTTTGCTCAGAATAGACAAGCCATGGTCTCTCCACTCTCTCCCCGTTCGCCATCCTCCTATTGTAGTGGGCCACCGAAAACTTTTGTTGCCCCTCATCTCTTGGGAAATTCCCCTCTTTATCCTGATGTGGCCCAGTCTGCACTAACATATCCCGTAAAGATCCATTCATATATTTTGGCCACTCACTGGGATATTTTATGTTTTTTGTCTGGGAGTTGGATTTAGCAGCAGCACCACCACTGTCATCGGGGACGGGGAGCGACGAATCTGAGTCCGGGTCCAAGATGGTAGGGTCTTCGCCGGCATTGTTTGGAGGTGTGGCTAGGCCTGGTGCAACCACCTATTCTTGTCCAGCCAGAGAGCTGTCATCATCAGTGGAAGTACATGGCTCGGACATCTCCGGTTTGCCCTCTCCGCTGCTAGAATCAGCGAATGGGGGCTTGTTGTTCTCGGCGAATGAATGGCCTGTCCTCAGAGGCTTGTCATTCTCCACACCGGCTGATGGACATTGCTGCACGCTGATAAATTTCAGCAGCGAATTTCTTTGGGTTAGAGACTGCTTCTTTTCTCATTCATTATTATAATTTTTTAATATATTCACTTCCTGATAGTTTCGGTCTCTTAGACATGGTAGCAAATTGTTTCAAATCTCTATAGCTTACTTGTAGGTAAAATTATATCCACTAGTAGTAGCTAGCTAACATTAACATGCTAGTTTAGGCTACTGCCTTAATCACTAATCGTCTTCGTCATACACAAACATAAATAAATAAATAAATCATTTAATTGGCAAATTCATTTTTATTAATGTTTCACAATTGGATAATTCCATATAAACACATACATCACCATAGCTACCAAAGATAGTGGGAGTGAACTTTGGGAGAAGCGGGAATGGGGTGAGGGCGGGAACTGCAGCAACGCTATGAGCCGGTGGCTGGGGTGCCGTCGGCGGTGTAGCAGCCGATCAGGGGCGCCGGAGGGCGGCAGCCAATTGTCAAAATGCCGCCCCAAATTCAATTGCCGTCATAGGCAGCTGCCTAATCTTGCCTAATGGGAGGGCCGGCCCTGGGTGCAGACATGTGTAGTGTGTTAGAGAGATTAGTGTCTCTGCTCCCGTGGGCAGACATTCAGGTGAAATAGGGACGTGTGTGTGTGGAGGAGTTAGTGCTCATACAGGTGTGTGTCTGAGGTTGCTGATTTGAAAGGGCAGGATTAGGGGATTACCAGTCTGCTACATTACCTGAAGGCTTCAGGGGTGCAGCAGTGCAGCAGAGTGTATGTGCATGCGTGTCTGGTGTGCGCGTGGTGTGTGTGTGTGTGGGGGGGGCTGCTGCATGGTTACCTGAGAGCTTCTGACAGACTGGCTGATAAGATAACACATGACTGTGAACGTGTGTGGTCTGACTGGGTTTACAATACTGTGTGTTCAAGTGAGAACAGGTCCTGGCTTGGAGGTGGTTGCTTAATGGGTTATCTAGGTATAAATATTTATTAGGTTATATGTATTATGTGATGTATGTACGTACTTAGTTACTGTATATGATAAGATTTCCTTTTCTACACTATCAATTGGGTATTACTTATGTATGACTGTGTTGCTAAGAGATTAATTATATTCATTATATTTACGTTGACACATATTATCTTAACACAACACAAAGTTTTATGATGTATTTATAGAACTACATTTCATGAAAATGGTCACAGTACATGCACCTGCAGTGAAATGGGAATGAATTCTAAACAGTTAGCCATAGTGGTATAGTGTGTTTAAAACCACAGCTGATCCATGAGCCAGAGGTTGTGTAGTGCTTCTATCCTGGGCAGGTGTTTTTATGTGGTAGATGTAGAGGGAGCATCAACACCTATAGCTAGCGCACCTCCATGGCCCTCCAAGCCTCACTGTATCACTCATCTCCCTCTCTCTTAAAGGGACCTCCCGGCTCCCAGCCGTCACCCCACGCACAGCCACCCCCACACAACCCCAACAACCCCATGATGGGACCTCACGGCCAGGTAAGACACACTCACACACACCCTTCTCTCTCACACACACCCTTCTCTCTCACACACACCCTTCTCTCTCACACACACTCTGCTTTGCCCACTCTCCCTCACCTCTTGCTGCACAGGCAGGCACTCCCTCTTTCACTTTCTCAATCACTATCATTCTCTGCCTGTCCACTCACACTGAGAGGCCTCTGTCTCCCTTGGTCTCTTCCTCTTTTGCACTCACTCCTTATCTGTATCTTTCTGTCTCTGTCACTCACCCACATCCCCTCCCATCCCCCAAAACATATGTCCATACATACAGCCCTGCTCCCTAGTTGTGGACAGACAGGCAGTGGCCATGACACTGTAGATCAGATAATTAATTCAGCTGTGTTGGCCCAACTGTAGAGAATAGAGGAGGAGTGGAGGTGTGTCTGGCCAGGCTGAGCAGAGCAGGCCTGCTCTCTCCTCTCCCTAAGCCCGGAACTCACTCTCCCATCAATATCCCATTAATATTGTACTTTGGAGAACTCGCACACAAACTCACCACAACTTGGCTTAGACAAAAGCAGACTCTGAGAGGGATGATGGGGGAGAGAAGGATTATGGGGGAGAGAGAGGAGAGAGATGGGGAGAGAGAATTAAGGAGAGCAAGATGGGGGGAGAGAGGAAGGGATAGAGGGAGAGCGATAGCGAAACGGCAGTCTTTCCCTCCAGCTGGCATCATCTTCCCTACACCAACTAGTAGCTTGTGTTTAATTGGCTCTGAAAGCCCGTTTCTGTGTTGTCATGGCATCATGTTTCGCCTGCCTGTACACATCTCTAATAGCATGATCATTTGCGTGTTATGTCATTGTCAATAACACTGGTTAGTTGTGCTCTTAATGATGTATTATATTTTGTTTTCCCTTGATGGATGAAAGTATTTTTTTAGAATTTTTTTTTTCCCGTTAAGGCGTTAATACTTCCCAGCCGAAACAGTTCGGAACAGTTCGTGCCTATATTATGACAACATTTTGTGACGTTTTGGATTTTTTCTCGAGGCAAGCCGAAGTCAGTAGCCAAAGTCTACGCCCCCTCATCGGCGATTGGTCAACAGTAGGAATTCTTAAATGAAGTGCCTGTTGTCATTCAACGAGAGACGACTTGTCCTCATGCAAAATAAAAATATGTTAAATTGCGCGACTAAGATCTCCTTGGCAAAAACGTCAAAATTAATGACAGATTTCTTGAATTATCTTAGATTAATTCACACTATTTTGAGGAAGTGTATACTGGCTACGGTGTCTTAAAATGGACAAACAGTACTATTGCTGCTTTTTTCTCGTTTTTCAAGCGAAGGTCTTTTAAGGGAGTATGCGAGCACAACTCGGCTAGGCTGCATCACACTGTACTAATGTTGTGGAAATGTTTCTGGTAGCTCTGTTGGACAATGATCAATACAGTCAGTTGTGTGTGTGTGTGCACATGCTGTACGTGTGTAAAACAGAAAGAGGTGTGTGTATTCTTCCACTACCCTCCTCCTGCACATACCCTCCCATCCTCATCCCTCATCCTGTACTGTTCCCTCATTCAACATGCTGACGTCACCCACGTCCATCCTCTACTCCACCTTTTTCTCTCTCGCTCTCTCCCACCCATCTTTATTTCCCCTTTTCTATTCTGTTCTATTCGTCTTCAGCATCTGAGGACTATTCTTCAGAACTCTGAGACACAACCTTTGCCTTGTGTAGCATGCAAACAAAGCTCATTCAAACTCTGAGCATTTTCTCCAGCACAATGGTTCCCCCTGCTGACAGCAGAAAGTCATACAGTAACATGATGGATAAGACTAACATTGACGTCTGTCCTCCTCCCCACAGCCTTTCATGTCCCCACGGTACCCAGGTGGACCTCGCCCCTCACTCCGCATGCCAAATCAGGTAAGGTACCTCTACTAGAAGTATGAAGTCTTACATGTGAGTAGTACATTTTCAGGGAGTTGAATACTCTGTGCTAATGTTCCTCTCTCTCTCTTGCCCTTCGTCTCTCAGCCCCCTGTGGGAGTCCCAGGGTCACAGCCACTCCTGCCAAACAGCCTGGACCCCACCAGACCACAGGGTAAACACCTCACACTTCTATTCATTTTGTAACATGCAATATCCTATTAGCTTAAAGCTGGAATCCGTACTTGGTGAAACTGCCACAATGAACACAGTTTTTCTTTACATCGGACATCATTGCTTTCGTGATAGAACAGCAGGGTATGTACTGATATCCATGAGTTCATCTGCCTCTGGGTAGAAAAACGCCTTAACCGCCTAGAGTCGATTGACGCAACGCGACGTACTTCTGCATCTGCGGTAAAAGGCGGCAGAGCTAGAGCGGTGTTTGTCAGACCATGAGGCATCCGAAAATCGGTCTTCTCACGAAAACGTCTGTAGCGTTCGAACGGTTTGGCCTAGAAACCATTACCATTCTATGAAAAGGGGTTACTCTCATGATGGTGTTCTCCGTTTTGCTCTACGACCCCCACAAGTGTCAGGGGACTCGTCTGAAGTCAGTACCGTCGATGTGCCAACTTCTGTTTGTAGCATCCGAACCGTTTGGGCTACAAACTAATGTGACCCCACTGTTGAAAGGGGAGATTATCACGAACACGATGGTGTTCTCCAAGTGTCACAGGACTCGTCTGAAGATAACCGGTACCGGTTTAAAAAAATGAATGGAAGTATGAAGGTAGTTTTGTGCCTACCCCATAAAATGGGTTAAATACAGGGGTTAATTTCCAGAATCCCACAGTATCCCTTTAAAGGTGCAATATGCCGAAATCGCTCTGCCATTTCCTGGTTGCTAAAATGCTAATAGTTTCTGTGACAAAACAAGCAATCATTGTACCATCTAAATCGCTGTGAGATCTTTTCAATAACCAAAAATGTGTATTTTCAGCTGTTTGAAGCTGGTGTACAAAACCGAAAGTAAAAGACGCAAAAACGAAACTTAAGAACAGGAAGCATAGAAATTGCGCAAATAGAACAGATCTACTGCTTCTTAGACTTGCTTTCAATGAGAATGACAGATCTATAACTCATATTGCAGCTTTAAGGATATGTGCTTGTAGAATGTATTTGGTCTGAAATTGTCCCATGCTGACGGACTTCCTCTCGATCATCCCTCCTCCAGGACATCCAAACATGGGCGGCCCGATGCGGATGAATCCCCCCAGAGGGATGGGTGGCATGGGCCCACAGGTACAGACAGACACCATCACTCCCCCTAAACTCTGCTGCTCCACCCCTCTATCCATGATCCCCATGTCCCTTTACAGCATATCACACTGAACATACAAGGTTTCTTTCATCGCTACTTAATTCCCTGATGTCAGTCTCATCCTACAGTATATATATCTGAAAAAGCTCAATGAAAAATGTATAACCACAAATACACTATTTTTACAAAAGTATGTGTACAACCCTTCAAATTAGTGGATTCGGCTATTTCAGCCACACCCGTTGCTGACAGGTGTATAAAATTGAGCACACAGCCATGCAATCTCCATAGACAAATATTGGCAGTAGAATGGCCTTACTGAAGAGCTCAGTGACTTTCAATGTGGCACCGTCATATGATGCCACCTTTCCAAAAAGTCAGTTCATCAAATTTCTGCCCTGCTAGAGCTGCCCAGGTCAACTGTAAGTGCTGTTATTGTAAAGTGGAAAAGTCTAGGAGCAACAACGGCTCAGCCGCGAGGTGGTAGGGCACACAAGCTCACAGAAGGGACCGCTGAAGCGCGTAGCGTGTAAAAATAATCTGTCCAAGGTTGCAACACTCACTACCGAGTTCCAAACTGCCTTTGGAAGCAATGTCAGTTCGTTGGGAACTTCATGAAATGGGTTTCCATGGCCGAGCAGCCGCCCCACACAAGCCAAAGATCACCATGAGCAATGGCAAGCGTCGGCTGGAGTGGTGTAAAGCTCGCCGCCATTGGACTCTGGAGCAGTGGAAACGCGTTCTCTGGAGTGATCATGCTTCACCATCTGGCAGTCTGAAGGACAAATCTGGGTTTGGCGGATGCCAGGAGAACGCTACTTGCCCGAATGCATAGTGCCAACTGTAAAGTTTGGTGGAGGAGGAATAATGGTCTGGGGCTGTTTTTCATGGTTCGGTCTAGGCCCCTTAGTTCCAGTGAAGGGAAAACTTAACGCTACAGCATACAATGACATTCTAGATGATTCTGTGCTTCCAACTTTGTGGCAACAGTTTGGGGAAGGCCCTTTCCTGTTTCAGCATGACAATACCCCCATGCACAAAGCAAGGTCAGAAATGGTTTGTCGACATCGGTGTGGATGGAAGAACTTGACTGGCCTGCACAGAGCCCTGACCTCAACGCCTTCGAACACCTTTGGGATGAATTGGAACGCCGACTGCGAGCCAGGCCTAATCGCCCTACATCAGTGCCCGACCTCACTAATGCTCTTGTGGCTGAATGGAAGCAAGTACCCGCAGCAATGTTCCAACATCTAGTGGAAAGCCTTCTCAGAAGAGTGGAGGCTGTTATAGCAGCAATGGGGGGACCAACTCCATATTAATGGCAATTATTTTGGAATGAGATGTTCGACAAGCAGCTGTCCACATACTTTTGGTAGTGTAAGTGCTAAGTGGCATACCAAATCCAGGTCCAGACACCTTGATGAAGGCCAAAACGCGTTGGTGTATTTTAATAATTAACTAGCCCACACATTAAAGGCTTTTTAACTTGCAAACCCACACGAGTGCCTGGACTTTTGTGGTTATAGTTTCTCCTTTTGCTTTTCTAGTATTGTTCCCCTCCAAGATCACCTGTTGTTGTTTTGGAATACCTGAAGCGCTCTTGCTACTTATTTTTCTTCAACTATTTCTATCTGCTTTGTCTCAAAGCAAGCCCGACATCATACCCCTCAAGTAGCACCCCTCTCCTTGTTAAGTATAAATCCACAGTCTACTTTCCAATCACCAAGTCAGTTTGAGCGCCATGTGCCCCCTGTCCCTCCCTGCTTCCCTCACTGTGTAACTTTGGCAGACAACAATTCAGCAGCTTGTGCGACATCTGCTCGACCAGTGTAATCATCTGCTGAACAAAACTCTACGTCTGAGTGGAGCTGCTCTGTGTCCTGCCCCACGCTGCCGTCCTGCCAAGCCCCCACTGTGCAGCCATCACAACACACACACACACACACACACATATATATATATATATATATATATACTGCTCAAAAAAATAAAGGGAACACTTAAACAACACAATGTAACTCCAAGTCAATCACACTTCTGTGAAATCAAACTGTCCACTTAGGAAGCAACAGACAACAGGTGGAAATTATAGGCAATTAGCAAGACACCCCCAATAAAGGACTGGTTTTGCAGGTGGTGACCACAGACCACTTCTCAGTTCCTATGCTTCCTGGCTGATGTTTTGGTCACTTTTGAATGCTGGCGGTGCTTTCACTCTAGTGGTAGCATGAGACGGAGTCTACACCCCACACAAGTGGCTCAGGTAGAAGCAACCGGATGCTCATTCAAGGCGAGCGTAGAAGAGTTGGTAATTATGCTGTGTCATAAATGTAGATATGGTAGGGCTGGAGTAGAGGCTAGGCCATACTCCAGGGGAAAGGGGGGGGGTGGAAAGTAATAACAGAGTGTAAGTGTATTATTTATGTGGGATGATGTATGTTGTATGTAGTAGTATTTAGATGTTGTATGTATGTGTGTAGTTGTATGCTATATTATATTATATGTATGTATGTGTGTATACAGTGGGGAAAAAAAGTATTTAGTCAGCCACCAATTGTGCAAGTTCTCCCACTTAAAAAGATGAGAGAGGCCTGTAATTTTCATCATAGGTACACGTCAACTATGACAGACAAAATGAGAAAAGAAATTCCAGAAAATCACATTGTAGGATTTTTTATGAATTTATTTGCAAATTATGGTGGAAAATAAGTATTTGGTCAATAACAAAAGTTTCTCAATACTTTGTTGTATGCCCTTTGTTGGCAATGACACAGGTCAAACGTTTTCTGTAAGTCTTCACAAGGTTTTCACACACTGTTGCTGGTATTTTGGCCCATTCCTCCATGCAGATCTCCTCTAGAGCAGTGATGTTTTGGGGCTGTCGCTGGGCAACACGGATTTTCAACTCCCTCCAAAGATTTTCTATGGGGTTGAGATCTGGAGACTGGCTAGGCCACTCTAGGACCTTGAAATGCTTCTTAAGAAGCCACTCCTTCGTTGCCCGGGCGGTGTGTTTGGGATCATTGTCATGCTGAAAGACCCAGCCACGTTTCATCTTCAATGCCCTTGCTGATGGAAGGAGGTTTTCACTCAAAATCTCACGATACATGGCCCCATTCATTCTTTCCTTTACACGGATCAGTCGTCCTGGTCCCTTTGCAGAAAAACAGCCCCAAAGCATGATGTTTCCACCCCCATGCTTCACAGTAGGTATGGTGTTCTTTGGATGCAACTCAGCATTCTTTGTCCTCCAAACACGACGAGTTGAGTTTTTACCAAAAAGTTATATTTTGGTTTCATCTGACCATATGACATTCTCCCAATCCTCTTCTGGATCATCCAAATGCACTCTAGCAAACTTCAGATGGGCCTGGACATGTACTGGCTTAAGCAGGGGGACACAGCAGGATTTGAGTCCCTGGAGGCGTAGTGTGTTACTGATGGTAGGCTTTGTTACTTTGGTCCCAGCTCTCTGCAGGTCATTCACTAGGTCCCCCCGTGTGGTTCTGGGATTTTTGCTCACCGTTCTTGTGATCATTTTGACCCCACGGGGTGAGATCTTGCGTGGAGCCCCAGATCGAGGGAGATTATCAGTGGTATTGTATGTCTTCCATTTCATAATAATTGCTCCCACAGTTGATTTCTTCAAACCAAGCTGCTTACCTATTGCAGATTCAGTCTTCCCAGCCTGGTGCAGGTCTACAATTTTGTTTCTGGTGTCCTTAGACAGCTCTTTGGTCTTTCCATAGTGGAGTTTGGAGTGTGACTGTTTGAGGTTGTGGACAGGTGTCTTTTATACTGATAACAAGTTCAAACAGGTGCCATTAATACAGGTAACGAGTGGAGGACAGAGGAGCCTCTTAAAGAAGAAGTTACAGGTCTGTGAGAGCCAGAAATCTTGCTTGTTTGTAGGTGACCAAATACTTATTTTCCACCATCATTTGCAAATAAATTCATAAAAAATCCTACAATGTGATTTTCTGGATTTTATTTTCTCAATTTGTCTGTCATAGTTGACGTGTACCTATGATGAAAATTACAGGCCTCTCTCATCTTTTTAAGTGGGAGAACTTGCACAATTGGTGGCTGACTAAATACTTTTTTTCCCCACTGTATATGTTTGGCGGTGGGTCAGTCATGGTGTGGGATGGCATTTCTTTGGGGTGCCGCACAGCCCTCCATGTGCTCGCCAAAGGTAGCCTGACTGCCATTAGGTACCGAGATGAGATCCTCAGACCCCTTGTGAGACCATATGCTGGTGCGGTTGGCCCTGGGTTCCTCCTAATGCAAGACAATGCTAGACCTCATGTGGCTGGAGTGTGTCAGCAGATCCTGCAAGAGGAAGGCATTGATGCTATGGACTGGCCCGCCCGTTCCCCAGACCTGAATCCAATTAAGCACATCTGGGACATCATGTCTCGCTCCATCCACCAACGCCACGTTGCACCACAGACTGTCCAGGAGTTGGCAGATGCTTTAGTCCAAGTCTGGGAGGAGATCCCTCATGAGACCATCCGCCACCTCATCAGGAGCATGCCCAGGCATTGTAGGGCGGTCATACAGGCACGTGGAGGCCACACACACTACTGAGCCTCATTTTGACTTGTTTTAAGGACATTACATCAAAGTTGGATCAGCCTGTAGTGTGGTTTTCCACTTTAATTTTGAGGGTGACTCCAAATCCAGACCTCCATGGGTTGATACATTTGATTTCCATTGATCATTTTTGTGTGATTTTGTTGTCAGCACATTCAACTATGTAAAGAAAAAAGTATTTAATAAGATTATTTAATTCATTCAGATCTAGGATGTGTTATTTTAGTGTTCCCTTTTATTTTTTTGAGCAGTGTACATACACACACACACCACATATTCAGACACACATGCCCCTGTTATCATTATACACATACATTGCTGATCAGGATCGAGTCATTAAAAACTGGCATCTGTCTTAAATACAACAAATGAGAGAGTGATCCCTGGCATGTATTGTCCTCAGTAGTACCAAGGGTTGATGCTGTGTGTTCCTCTCTCTGTGTAGAATTATGGTGGTGGAATGAGGCCTCCTCCCAACTCCATGGGGCCAGGAATGCCAGGAATGAACATGTGAGTACAGTCATTCTCCAAAGGCATTTAATCACCTCATCTACTTACTATTTTTTTTAAATGATCCAGATATCTGAATTACTATTGGAATTGCTATTAATAGCACTGATAGGATGTAAGAATATTTGACAAGTAACAATTTGAGCAAATACAAGCTCTAATTTGTTCTGCAGTGAGCCTCTCTCACACAGCCTATTTTCTTCCCCTCTCTCTGTCTTAGGGGTCCTGGAGGTCGAGGTCCCTGGCCCAATCCCAACGCAAACTCAGTAAGTCCTGCTCACTCACCTTCTCACTCACTCTAATGCCTCATTTATTTTAGAGGTAATTCTTTGTTGTGAAAGTCATGAGTTTACTGATTCTGTCCCCTTTCTGTTCTCTCTCTATAGATAGCCTATTCCTCGTCATCTCCTGGCAACTATGTGGTAAGTCTCAAGCCTAAACACTGATTAGTATTGTTAGCCATAGCTGACATCTGACTGGCATGCTACTGTATACAGTGCCTTCTGAAAGTATTCACACCCCTTGACTTTTTCCACATTTTGTTGTGTTACAGCCTGAATTTAAAACAGATTAAATTGAGATTGTGTGTCACTGACCTACACACAATACCCCATAATGTCTTCATTAAAAATGAAAAGCAGAAAAGTCTGTAGTCAATAAGTATTGAAATTGAGTAAATATGTGTTTAACAAGTTGCATGGTCTCACACTGTGTGCAATAATAATGTTTAATGTGATTTTTGAATGAGTACCTCATCTCTGTACCCCACATATGTACAATTATCTGTAAGGTCCCTCAGTCGAGCAGTGCATTTCAAACACAGATTCAACCAAAGGCCAGGGAGGTTTTCCAATGCCACGCAAAGAATGGTACATATTGCTAGATGGGTAAAGAAGAAAAGAAAAGCAGACATGGAATATCCCTTTGAGCATGGTGAAGTTATTAGTTATGCTTTGGATGGTGTATCAATACACCCAGACACTACAAAGATGCAGGCGTCCTTCCTAACTCAGTTGCCGGAGAGGAATGACAGAGTTACAGAGTTTAATGGCTGTGATAGGAGAAAACTGAGGATGGATCAACAACATTGTAGTTACTCCACAATACTAACCTAATTGACAGAGTGAAAAGAAGGAAGCCTGTACAGAATAAAAATATTCCAAAACATGCATCCTGTTTGCAATAAGGCATTAAAGTAAAACTGCAATAAATGTGGCAAAGAAATTAACTTTATGTCCTGAATGCAAAGCGTTATGTTTGGGGCAAATCCAACACAACACAACACATCACTGAGTACCACTCTTCATATTTTCAAGTATGGTGGTGGCAGCATCTTGTTATGGGTAGGAGTTTTTTAGGATAAAAATTAACTGAATAGAGCTAAGCACAGGAAAGATCCTAGAGGAAAACCTGGTTCAGTCTGCTTTCCAACAGAGACTGGGAGACAAATTCACCTTTCAGCAGGACAATAACCTAAAACACAAGGCCAAATATACACTGGAGTTGCTTACCAAGACAACATTGAATGTTCCTGAGTGGCCTAGTTACAGTTTTGAGTTAAATCGGCTTGGAAATCTATGGCAAGACTTGAAAATGGCTGTCTAGCAATGATCAACAACCAACTTGACAAAAGTTAAACATTTTTAAAAAGAATAATGTGCAATTATTGTACAATCCAGGTGTGCAAAGCTCATAGCGACTTACCCAGAAAGACTCACAGCTGTAATCGCTGTCGAAGGTGATTCTAATATGTATTAACTCAGGGAGTTTTAGTACTTACAGTGGGGGAAAAAAGTATTTAGTCAGCCACTAATTGTGCAAGTTCTCCCACTTAAAAAGATGAGAGAGGCCTGTAATTTTCGTGTCTTTTATACTGATAACAAGTTAAAACCGGTGCCATTAATACAGGTAACGAGTGGAGGACAGAGGAGCCTCTTAAAGAAGAAGTTACAGGTCTGTGAGAGCCAGAAATCTTGCTTGTTTGTAGGTGACCAAATACTTATTTTCCACCATAATTTGCAAATAAATTCATAAAAAATCCTACAATGTGATTTTCTGGATTTTCTTTTCTCATTTTGTCTGTCATAGTTGACGTGTACTTATGAGGAAAATTACAGGCCTCTCATCTTTTTAAGTGGGAGAACTTGCACAATTGGTGGCTGACTAAATACTTTTTTTCCCCGCTGTATATAATCAAGATATATTAGGGTTTTATTTTTCATACACTTTTTTACAAATTTGACATTTCAGAGTATTTTGTGTAGATCCTTGACAATTAAAATCAATTTTAATCCCACCTTGTAACATCACAAAATGTGGAAAAAGTTGAGGGATGTGAATACTTTCTGGAGGCAATGTATGTCTAGATGTTTTGGAAATATATTTTCTCTAAATCTCGCTCTCCTCCTCTCGTCTTTCTCCCAGGGTCCTCCAGGGGGCGGAGGCCCACCAGGAACTCCCATCATGCCTAGCCCAGGAGGTACGCGCACTTATTTGTCTCCATATCACTCCTCAATCTATTTAAGCTGTTTGTTTCATTCACCATTCTGCTGTCACAGTCACACTTGGTGACTTTGTTTACCTAATGATTTTTTATCTTAAATAGTCTTAGCTTGTTATGTGGATAGCTACATACTGGACGTGTATAACTTGGCAGACTACTGAGCTGCGATCATCTGTTGTTCTCACCAATGCTGCATCAGTCTGTTCCTGTTGACAGTACAGTCAGAACAAACTGCTCTGGACCAACATCCTGTGGATGTGCTGTTTCTGTTGGGATGTGGAGAGGTTTCTTTTTGCGTCCACTATTTATTATTTACATACACCTCTATTGTGACGCGTTGCCTGGGCAACATGTGCACAGCGCTCCTCACATGTTTTTCCACTCCATTCGCCAAGACAACCCCCCCCCCCCCCACACACACACCACCATCCCCCATCCCCCATCCCCACATACATACACACACACACACACACACACTAACACACCCAGTCACGACTGCACATACTACACCCAGGGCCACAACCAGGCGACAAACCCCACACTCCCTACCTCTTTCTGTTTATTTTTCTCCCTACTCTGACCACACTACAATGTCAGATCAAGGTCACTTCTATTCTCATATTCTATTTAGGATAGAGACACAATGAGAGTAACATTAGGTGCTGGTTCTGTTTACTTTCCACTGGCTCTGTAGTCATCAGGATGTAACCCCATGTTCATGGAAACATGAGATATGAAAAATGTGAGACATTAGGCTTTCACATTCCATGTGGGTAGATGAATTATAACCTGCATGTTTAGGTGTGAATCATTGTCATGTTTTGGTGGTTTTGTAGTGTTCAATCTCAAGGCTGTCCATTCATGTGGCTGAAGGCAATACAGAACTGTGTAGTTCTGCTCAAATATACTGTAGGCTGGACTAAGTGTTGTTTTCTTCTCTCCAGACTCCACAAATTCCAGTGAAAACATCTACACAATGATGAATCCTATTGGCCCTGGTGGTAACAGACCTAATGTAAGTAGGCTCTTTGTTTTTCATGGGGTTCCTGTTTTCAAATGGGTAGAGGCAATGATTATGCAATTTGATATGATAATGACAAAGATCATTAAGTTGTAACTCTGTTTTTTGTGGGGGGGTTTTACAGTTCACAATGGGGCCGGGCCCTGATGGCCCAATGGGTGGAATGGGAAGCATGGAGCCACACCATATGAACGGATCGCTAGGTGAGTTTCAATAGCAGCTATCAGCTGATCAATATGATAATATCTGTCAGCAGCATGTAGAACTGTTACCTGGAATTTATTAAGCCATTCTGACAAACATTAACATTTACATTTCTAAAACTTTTATATAAATATTAGGCAGTAATTTAGAACTACTGTACAATAGTAATGTGGTCATCCGGCTTGAATTGTTGAAATCCGGTAGCTGAGTTCTGTGAGAAATAGCACTTTACTAGTGTGACTATACCCCCTTGTGGACAGCATAGGGATCGTTCCTTTCATAGTATTGATTTGAAGTGGAAGCAGATTATATGGGCAGCAAGCAGGCACATTGATTTTGTAGGCAGGTGAGACGTGATCAATGAAGCCAATGAAGTTGGGTCTCATCTGTATTTGAAACAAATAACTTAATTAAAGCATATGACCTGTGTTAAGAGCTGAATGTGATCCCCGGCCGGAGGAGCAGTTGAGCATAGCTTTATACTGATGAGCTTTTCTCTCATGTCAATCTCTCTCTTGTTGTTTTCAGGCTCTGGTGACATGGATGGGTTGCCAAAGGTGAGACTTTAAAGACTCCACACCAGATAAACTTGCATTCATTTCAATGCAGACCCATCTAAAGTTTATTGAAGGCACTTCTAATACTGACGACTTGGTTTGGATACAAAGCAGACAGAAATTAAATAATGGCACTTTTTAATGAAACATCCAGTCACTAGAAATGGCAGATGAGAATGGGGAGGCCTAAATCTAGATGTCTTTCCCTCTTGGTGTAGAATTCTCCCAACAACATGGCAGTCATGAACAACCCTCCGGGAACTCCGCGGGATGATGGGGAGATGGCTGGCAACTTTTTAAACCCATTCCAAAGTGAAAGTGTGAGTACTCTACAGCGCTACAGTCCTTCTCTTCACTAACCCGCAACCATCAGGCAGTTTGCTTCAGTGAAGAAATTCTCATCTCACTGCTGACTTTATTCCTGTATCCTAAACACTTTCCCTTCAGGCTTTACCTTAGTTTGTCGAAATTAGATTTGTTTTATAATGTCAACGTAGAAAATATGTATAATTCTTACCTGGCTGTCTCGTAAAGCAGTCTGCTTGTTATGCATGATAACAAACTTATACATTGAGTTTCTTATTGCTTGCATGTTGAATTGTGTAGCATCATATGTGTAATATAGCATTGGCTCATCTATTTCCCCCCTTCCCTTCTTTTCTCTTTGCAGTATTCACCCAACATGACGATGAGTGTGTGATTTCTTTTTTATTTTTTATTTTATTTCTTTTATCTCTCCCCCTTTCCCTCCCACCCCGCTGCATCTTGCGTTGCCCTCTCCTCCCCTCTCCCTCCCCCTGACTCTCCCTCCTCCTCCCCCCTGGATGGCATGCTGTGTTTCGCAGCCCCCCGGGATGTCACTGAAGCGCAGGATTCCCATCAAGGCCACCCATCCCAGTGTGTGCAAAGTGGGGGTTCAGGGCAGGAAACAGTCTCAGAGCCACAGGAAGAGCCAACTCAGTGATTCTCCCTGTCTGCCTGGCTTCCTCACAGGCCCAGGACAGTGAGAATGGGGGACTCTGTCTGGCTGTCTGCAGGAACTCCCCTCAGCAACAGGCCTTTCAGCATCAAGGCTGGTGGCTCCACTCTACTCAATCATTTTATTCTTATTTTATTGAAATGTTGTTTTTGCATGCAGCAGTTGAGTGAGAGGGTCAAAGCTCACCCTCATTCAATTCCTGTGTCCTTTTGTTGAAATGAAAAGCTGAACTGGTGATATATTAGGGCAAGAACAGTTTTCATTATGTTTGCATTTTATTAATAATGTTATAATTTTCATAATTGATATTGCTATAATGTTGTAGTTATGATTTCCTGTTAATGGCACATTGTATCTCAACAACATCAACAGAATAAGCACACACTCAAAAAATGCACAATGACACTTCTGTTTACATGATTTTAGGTATTTGATGTTTCTTGTTTGTTTTGTTTGTCTCAACCCCCTACGCATACCTCTGGCCACAAATTCTGCGAAGAACAGAAGACAATGACTTTACTACCAGAAAAACATGGCACCAAAATGTAAACACTCAAGCAGGGTGTGATAGGAATACAAGGATAGCTGTTTGAAATCGCTCTTATCTAAGAATTATCCTTCCTAAGAATCCCATCCATCCATACCATCCATGTTAGCATTTGAGTTCCCCAAAACTTCTGAATATGAAAATGGAGGCGATCTCAGAAACATCTTTATCTTTTGGTACTCAATAGTATGTCAATCTACATGTATGGTCACACGCACCCCTCCCAAAATGTAATGTCAGTGTATATGTGTGTTCTACAGGCTTGTTGGTTTACTGTGCAAGGAGGATCGAATGTAATTTGGACAATTGCTCCTAATTCTATTTTCAGTTGAGGTGGCTTGGAACATTAATTTTTCTCTCTTGCGACCTATATCCTTCCTATTCAGTAAAGAGAAAGGGTTTTTAGACCCTCTATGCCCTTTTTATGGCTTTGCTCTTGCCTGTAAATACAACCTATTGTGCTTGTGCTTATTTGTTGTTTTGATATACAACTTGAGAATCCTGAAAGTGGATCCTTCTCCTCCTGCATTGATTTCACTGTTACCCTGCATACCAACTCAAGGCTCAATGTTATTTTACTGATCTGATCCCGTAATACAGGCCCCTTGCTACTGGTTTCCATGTCTTTGGTGTACAAACCCCTACCTGCTTCCTTCCAGTTAGGGTTGACCTCACAGATCCTTATGATCCAGTGTCTGACCCCTCTCACATGCAACCATAGTTTAGCGAGGGGCAAAAGGCGTCCGCATGCTTCCCAGCCGAAACAGTTCGATTGAGTTCGTGCATATATTATCACAAAATGTTGTGACATTTTTGTTCGTTTTGGACTTCGGTGTTGTGTGCTTTTCTGGCACACAACATATTTTCTGGAGGCAAGCCGAAGTTCGTAACCGAAGTCTACGCCCCTTCGTCGGTGATTGGTCAACAGTAGGGATTCTTCAATTACATTTTAGTCATTTAGCAGACGCTCTTATCCAGAGCGACTTACAGTTAGTGAGTGCATACATTTTCATACTGGCCCCCCGTGGGAATCGAACCCACAACCCTGGCGTTGCAAACGCCATGCTCTACCAACTGAGCTACACGGGACAATACATAAAGTCTTTGTTGTCATTCAACGAGTGATGACTCGTTTTCATACACATTTTTTCATTGAGAAATACTGCACCAAACATCTTAGTTAGATGTAAAATTGCACGACTATGATCCCTGCAAAAACGTCAAAATTATTGACAGATTTCTTAAGATTAATTCTAACTATTTTGAGGAAGTGTATGCTGGCTACAGGGTCTCAAAATGGACAAACAGTACTATTTCCGCAAAGGTATTTTTTTAAGGGAGTATGCGAGCACACTCATTCGCTTTAGCTAGCCGAGTTCGGCTAGGTGCCAGCCGAACTGAAGCATGCTGACGCCTTAACGCCACATAGCTCCCCATCCACCTGTTCCCTCTGTGGGTTTGGGGTGGCTGTAGCACCACTGGTGATGGGAGTGTGAAATGACTGGATTGCCTACACGGTGGGGCTTCACTCACTCTCCCACTATGAATAAGGAGTGCTCTACAGAACATGGAGTAACTTTTAGTCCACCTACTCACCTCAAATACATACTTTGAGAAACGAGAGAATTCTAACCTGGTTGGACTGAACTGTCAGTCAAACTATTTGTATTTTATTCTAGTTTATTTGTTTGATATTGTTTTGAATTTCTATGAAGTGTATTTAAGATTATTATTTTTAAGCCCATAGAATCTGCACAGCTAAGGAATGACTTTGCCCAAGGCTGTTCCTCAGAAGCTTTCATATGAATTGGTTATTAATCCAAGGGGTTGGTTAGACTCTCTAGCAGACATGTTGTGCTTCTTTGGAGATAATGTTTATTTCAAAAAGTCATTTATCAACAAGCTACATATTGTTGTACTTATTTAAAATCATTCTGGCCTCTGTTTGTCTGTGATTGGTCTTTTGCCAGTGACCTTGCTATAGTGTTGGAAGATCCGGTATGGAGTAGCTTGGATTCGGAGCTAAACAGATTCAGAGCTAAATAGGTCCATCTTCTGGGTAGGTTGTCTTGAGGAATGACTCACTCCAGTGTTCCTCTAGCAGACTGACTGGCACACAGCCCTCTGTCCCGCACCCGCCCCCTACAGCCCCATCCTCACACTCTTGAGCCCTCCTATCCTTTAATTTCCTTTTTGTAAATACTGTATAATGCATTTTGATATCATTGACATGTTTTGATATGTCAGTCACTACCAATGAATACAGCTTAAAGTAAATTATAAATGAACTGTCCATGTTTTCATAATAAAGAGACGATGTGCTTGACATTTGATTTAAGTTGGCTAAAACAAAATTGTGGTAAAAATGAAATATGTATGTACATTTACTTGAACATGTGAACATGCAGTAACTGCACCCTAAACACTGTTGTTTCTGGTCAGTATACATGTAGGAAATGTGAAAACAATCTACCATTCATTTAGCTGTAAGGACAGGGAGAGGTGAAGGGGATGTCTGATGTCATTGATACAGTTTATTCTTGGAACTACAGCGTCCTCACTCTGTCCTTGACCCCTGTTGCCAATGGAAATAATCTCAAATTGGTTCTAAGAATGGTTATTGCCTGCTCAAAGGCCATCGTCTCGTTAAAACATGCGACCACATATTACAGTTTTTAATATGAAGGGTTTTTATCAATTTAAGACAAACTTTTAAAAGGAAAAAATACGTAGAACCTCATTTTAAATTTAAAGATCAAAAGTAATGCTTATGGGGAAAACTGTGTCCTTGCTATTCACTCCTGATGAAATAGCGTTGTAAAGATTGATGCTCACTGATCCTCTCTCAGTCCTCTGTGTATAACAATTGTTGGCCATCTCTGTACTTATTGTGATGTATAATACTGTAACATTAGGAAGACTTGGGGGATGGTTGTGTGGGTGGGTGGGGGGGGGATATAAAGATTTGTCCTTTCTGACGACATGGCAGTATTCTATATGAAGCAGTCTGTCTCTTGGGTTTGCTTTGTATTTCATGGTAGGATAGTTCAGATCTTGTCTTAGGGACTTAGGTGTCTTGTGTAGGTAATAAAGATGTCCTTTGTATGTTTCTTTATATTGTAAAGTTTCTTTAGACTGAAAGAAAAACAGATTTGCTTATCAAAAAAAGAAATGACTGCATCAATAATAAATGTAATTTGATTTCCCCCCATTGTTTGAGTCTTCTGTGCGCCTCTGATCTTCAGCTAAAAAAATTGAATAAAGAGTATGATCTCCCAAAGTATTTTATATCCCATTATCTCAAAGCCTTTGAGAACTTAATAACTTACTCAATTATAAATAAATGTGTGGTTTGAGCATATTTGAATGCATTTGACAACCATATAAATTCATTAAATTCATTAATGTGTTTGAAGCGCTGAGGTATGTTTGAACCACCGATTTATATATACACTAGATTACATTTGGGGCGCTGTGTTGTAGCCACTGTGCCTCCATCTTGGCACTCCCCACCATTGTAAAAATATTTTAGAAGCTACAGAAATACATTTGTCTATATTCGTTTTTGCCATGATTATTCTTTTAAATGATATTATGTGAGCTAAACATAAACATTTACAAATATCTAAAAACATTTTATTTTAAGTATAATTTTTAGAGATGACTGTTACTGTCCCCACTACAACAACACAAATACTTAAATACATGTAATTTAGTCTTTGAAACATTTAATTGATATACTGTAGAATTACATTAATTCCTATGCAGGACTGCTCCTACTGGGGAGTGCCAATATGGCCGACCGGTGGCTTCAAAGCGTCTCAAGGGCCAATACATACTCTGCAATCCAGGGTTTATATACATTATTGGTTTGAACAGTTAGGTCATTTGTTTGACTGTCATTGGGATTTACCAATCGTGGGATTGCTTAAAGAGTATGAGCCAATAGAAATACAGGAAAGATGTTGTCAGGCCCAAGGTGAACAGGAAGAGCATGCCATCGAATTGACAGAAGAATCAAACTGAACTAGCATCACAAACTCTTCTTCAATCAGGCATTCAGTCCGTTTACCAAGCATATCATATTTTAAGGTAACGTGCAATATAATTGATTCAACCGCTGTCATTTTGTTCTTCATGTTTATTTGAACGAAGCTACAGTGAGTAAATTTGTATAAAATAGAAACTAGCTGGCTAAGTACTGTAGCTAATCTCACAACAATAAACTTTTCAGAAAGTTCTCGAAACACCCACTGAAATCCTGTACATTTTTATCACCAAAATGATAAAAAGTAATTTGAACAGTTAGCTAAGTAAGCTAGCTAGCTGTAGCTAGTAGTTCCCAATAGCTAATGCACAGTGCTAGTTAGTTACATTGCTTGCTAACTAACGCACTAACTAACTAGCTAGTTAGCTTGCTGTTTTCTAACGTTTCTCTCAAAGAATCAAATCAAATCATGCTTTATTTATACATC